GTCGTCACCATAGTATTTCATTTTCTTCTTCTTTTTGACGGTGTTTATGAAGTCTCCTAATGGGCATTTTTCTTGTTACACCATTTTGTATACTGTCTACTTTGGAAATGCTTAAGATGCCGAATACGTAGATTAGTCACTGTATTTCTGCTGTTAATATCCCAGATCCGCAGGTGTACAAAGTAACTGAGAAGGCCAATACACTTAACAGTCTCTTGGATTTCAGGCAAGTTTTTGCTATTTTAGTTTTGCAACAGTTCCTAATGATTGCACTGCTCCTGAAACAATTTCTATTTATATATTATATAGTTATATCGTCATTTAAAATACTGACATATATACATATATACACACACATATACACACACAAACACACACACGTGTATATAATATACATATATATATATATATATATATATCCATTTTGTCATTCACGTGTTTCCTGTATATTTTATAAATAGCCAACACAACGAATAAGTTTGTCTTTGTTAATTAATCATGATGATGATCATGGAGGAGATCGAAAGTAATTGGGTAGGGAAAAACTACGGCGTCTTCTTTGATGCGTTTCATTGTAACATCAAGAAACTCATTTGAGACATAGTATGTTTATATTATTCAATGGAATATGTTTGAATACACACACACATACAAACACACACACACACATACATATATATATATATATATATATATATATATATATATATATATATATATATATATATAAAGTTTGTTAATGAAAAGTTTGGATTATCCGTATGAGAATTATCCCATATATATATATATATATATATATATATATATATATATATATATATATGTGTGTGTGTGTGTGTGTGTGTGTGTGTGTGTGTGTGTGTATTCCAACATATTCCATTGAATAATATAAACATACTATGTCTCAAATGAGTTTTTGATGTTACAATGAAACGTATCAAAGAAGTCGTCGTAGTTTTTTACCCAAGTACGCGCTTTGTTATAATTTTAAAAGAATATATATATATATATATATATATATATATATATATATATATATATATATATATATATATATATATATATATATATATATATATGTATATAAACCCTTGTGCAAATTAATTGAAACAACCGCTGTAGTTTTCTTTCTTCGGCCATACGGTCAGTTTTTGACCCACTGGATTGACAGGATGTAATCGATTTCTATTTTCCCTTAAGATTGGGTCGTCTATGATTAAAATTGTTAGGTCCTGATTAATATTGCTTCATCCGTGATTGTATCAGATTTTTGTCACGCCCTGACAATATTGTTTCCACTGTCTGTGATGGGCGTTAATCCAAGGAACCGCACGAAAATTGTAACGCTTCACGAACACACTGAGAAGCCTTATCAGTGAGCAAATCCAAGTACTATAGACTGGCCCGGATTCTCCTGATTAAATCCAATTTAGAATGTGGTTAATCTGCAAGGAATGATGTCGTGGAATGGACATAAAATGTACTAACATATGGACTGGTTCATGTGTTTTTGGAATAATGCGAAAAAGTAAATAACGGAGTCCTGCTTTTTGTTTCAATTAATTTGCACAAGGTGTATATGGGTGCGTGTGTGCGTGTGTGTGAAAAGTGTGTGTATATAAAGATATATTTGATGTTTGTCAGTTATCTCCTGTTAATATTCATCTGTAAGTTCTCCACTACCTTAAACAGGTATTGAACTCACACTCTTTGGGTCCTGTCACTGGATTTAACCAACGCCTTTATCGACTGTGCCATGTGTCCTTGAGGAGAAACATGGATGTAGTTTATTGTCAAAACCAGTACACGGATGTAGTTTATCGTCATACACAGGACACGGATGTACTTTATCGTCATACCAAGGACACTGAGGTAGTTCATCGTCATACTCAGGACACGGATATAGTTTATCGTCATACCCAGGACACGGATGTAGTTTATCGTCATACTCAGGACACGGATGTAGTTTATCGTCATATCCAGGACACGGAGGTAGTTTATCGTCATACTCAGGACACGGATGTAGTTTATCGTCATACCCAGGACACGGATGTAGTTTATCGTCATACTCAGGACACGGATGTAGTTTATCGTCATACCCAGTACACGGATGTAGTTTATCGTCATATACAGGACACGGAGGTAGTTTATCTTCATACCCAGGACACGGAGGTAGTTTATCGTCATACTCAGGATGTGGATATAGTTTATCGTCATACTCAGCACGCGGATGTAATTTATCGTCATACTCAGGACGCGGATGTAGTTTATTGTCATACTCAGGACGTGGATGTAGTTTATCGTCATACTCAGGACACGGAGCACGGAGGTAGTTTATCGTCATACCCAGTACACGGATGTAGTTTATCGTTATACCCAGGACGCGGATGTAGTTTATCGTCATACCCAGGACGCAACAGGAGAAGAGGAAATCAAAATAGTTATAAAGTGTTACACTCGAAATAATATTAATAATTATTTTTAGAACAAGCCTATCTTTTCATTTAAAATTACAAGCATTTAAAAAAATAGTTTTATTCTTACATCAATCGATGGTGATTATAGAGATAGAAAATATGTTTTTTGTTTTTTTTTTTTAGCATAAGGTTTTTCAAGTTCATTGTTAATACCTTCTCTTGTAATTATGATGGACCTATTCCAATATTTGACAAAGAGGCGCTTCGCTCGCAGCTGTCAAAATATACTTTATTTATAAAAAAATCTTTTCGATTATTCAAATTGCTATCGATTTGCTTACGTGCACGCAAACACAGACATCACCTGACACCATATTATATTGTTCATTATTTCTCTAGTTTCTTTGGTAGCATGTTTGCCGGAATTGGTACTTGTAGTAAATTATAGTTTTTCTATATTGATGATCATACATTCAAAATTCATTCATCTTGGAATTTGGAAGATTCTCAATGGACATTTTGGCTGGAAACGGAGGTCATTTTTAGAATTCGCTTACAAAAATCGTTCGGCAGTCGTTTAATAATGTTAAACGCGAGATATTCTCAAGTTGGCAGAAAAATAAAAGACGGCTTAGAAGAATATGTTTTCCTCCAAACTGGTGCCAGAAGGAACTTTACCAATTGTGTCTCACGCAGAAGATATTCAGGAAGAATTGTGGATGATGAAACTTTACGGATTTGCTATATTTCCCGAGAGTTTCACAGACGTCGCATTTGACAAATTCTGTTTCATTCATAAACACTCTGCTTGCTATTGTTACCGATGGTTTTGGGAGTTAATTAATCTTCACATTATTTCTATTGTAGATTGACACCATTTAAAGTTAACTACATGTCCCAGGCAAATGAAATTAAATAGGCTTCACGTTGAACAATAAAAGATTTATGGAGATTTTCTAGGCGCAGGTTAAATGCGGCAAAAGGCCGAATGTATCTATCACCCAGTGAGGATCGAACTCATTACTCATTTGTAATGGTTCTTAGCGAGACAAACGTGCTAACCAGTGCGCCACACTGAGGTGCCAAATTGATTTTTTAAGCATAGCTTAGATGTGGCACAAGGCAGAACATACCGAGTGAGGATCGAAATCTCTGCTCTGTCGTAATTGTTCTCGCGAGACAAGCTGGCTAACAATTACACCACGTCGGAATGCCCTAAATGGTTTTTCTAAGCGTAGCTTAGATGTGGCACAAGGCCGAAAGTATGGGACACCCAGTGATGATCGAAATTTTCAGTCTTAATTGATCTAGCAAGACAAGATTGCTAACCATTACACCACGTCGAAATGCCCTAAATGGTTTTCTAAGCCTAGCTTAGATGTGCACAAGGCCGAAAGTATGGGGCACCCAGTGGGTTTCGGACTCACTATTCAGTTGTAATTGTTCTAGCGAGACAACCTTGCTCACCATTACACCACGTGGAAATAAAAGTTGTATGTATCAAAATTCGAACAAGATATACGACAGGATGTAGGTTTTATAAGGAATTTCACACTGCTTCACAGAGGTTCAATATGCATAGCAACTTTAACTTGTAATGTTTTACTTATAATTGATTAATTTTCGTGATTATCTATAATCTATTCCTATATAATTCATAATTATCTGTGCATAACGTATCAGAAAAGCGGACTCGGCAAGGAGAGTTCATTGCGTTCGCTTTTTCATAACTACCTTTGAGATAAGTATGGATTCATCTCTTCTGCTGAGTTAATTAGCAAAGAGTATGCGCTCTCTAGCCGCCGCTGGCCACCAGTCCATTAGTGAAAATCGGCTGCAAGTCAAGTTGGTAGACCAGCTACTGGCAGACACGCTGTAGTATGTTTTGCGTATCATTCTCGCGGCAAATTGAAGATTCTGGCGTTCTGCTATTCTTTTTTTTAAGAAATCCATTATCATCATCATCATCATCATCATCATCAACATCATTAACATCATCATCATCATCATCACCATCATCATCATTGTCATCATCACATCATCATCGTCATCGTCATCATCTCCATGGCCATCAACATCACCATCATCATGATCATCATCGTGGTCGTCATTGACATCGTCATCATCTTCGTCGTCACCATCATCATCATCATCATCGCCACCATCGTCGTTATCGCGATCATCATCATCATCATCATCATCGTCGTCATCATCGTCGTCATCGCCATCATCACCATCATCATCATCACCATTATTATCATCATCATCGCCCTCATCATTATCATCGTCATCATCATCATCATTATCATCATTGCCATCATCGTCAACATCATCTTCACCATCATCCTCATCATCATCATCGTCGTCATCGCCATCATCATCATCATCATCGTCGTCACCATCATCATCATTATCATCATTGCCATCATCATCATCATCATCATCTTCACCATCATCGTCGTCATCATGTTCTTTGGCTATTTAATCGTTGCTGAAACCTATTGGAAGAAAAAAAAACAATCACCTCCAAGATGATCTCCTTGCTGTGACTCTCAGGACTTCTGACATTGCCATGTCCGCCTGATGTATGATGTTGTCTGGCCAGCTTTTGCTTTGCCGCTCTCGCATGCATCCAATTTCAACAGTTTCTTGCATCCTGATCCTGCAGAGGCTGTTATGACGTGTTGGATGACAAAACAATGACATCTTCTGTCGGCCCACGAGTGTTTGTTTTTTTTTTTTTTGACTTTGCTCCGTTCACAGTCATTGGCTTTTAGCGACTAATAGGAGATGCTGAGGAGATTGCTCAAGAATCTGTTCTCGAAAGCCTGCATCATTTTTCCTGTCTTTACCAGAAGTGTTCAAGTCTCAAACCCGTAGAGGAGGATGGATACGACTAGCAGTTTGTTATAGAAATTTGTTATAGGAGTTAATGTTGCTCTTCGATTTCCTTTTCCAGTCTGGCCATCGATGTTGAGGCAATTGCGATGCCATAGCGGATTTCTATTTTTTAGGTACCATCTTTTGACAGAGCTGCTACCAAATATTTGAATCTTGACACTTCCCCCAGTAGTTTGCCGTCCAAGAGATTTGAAACAATTAAAAAATACAAAAATAAAAAAAAAATAATTATAGTAACAATTAACTCCTTGTTCGATATCAGTTCTTTCGATATCTCCTGTTATTTTTCAGCATTCGTTCATAATATAATCCTGCATTTTGAAAGAACTGTAAAATGAATTCCTTAATTTCAATCTCATCGCCTACACTAGGTGAATTGTGTAATTTTCAAATCACTTAGGAATTTTCCATTTTCTATGATGTCACACAATCAGTAGTGTTAGACAGAAACATATTTGAAAATAATGTTTACTTATAATTAATTCATTTCCATGATTATCAATAATCTTTTCCTCTATCATTTATAATTATCTATGCATAACGTATCAGCATGGCGAGTTCTTTGCTTTCACTTTTTCCTAACTACCTTTGAGAAAAGTATGGAGTCATCTCTTCTCCTGAGTAAATTAGCAAAGAGACTGCGCTCTCTATACGCCGCTAGCCACCAGACCATGAGGACTCTGATTTGAAAATCGGTTACTAGCTGTTGTTCGTTCTGAGTATGACGATAAACTACATACAAGGGCTTTTCAAAGCAGAAATTTTAGATCAGTGCTATTTTCCATTCAATTAATGATAGCTTTCTTTTTTTATTTAGATGTAAAATAATTCATATTACGTATCAATTAAAATATTAAAATATTTATATTCCGTGTCATTTATCAGAGGTTTATGTGTTTACTGGATACTCAAATACTGTTGCCTTGAACCATACATAATTAATCAACAAATAACTGCAATCCCTACATATAATTTCCATAAATGCTAATAAAAACTGTTCTTTGTAGTAACGTCATCAAGCCTGAGATGTCCTGGGTATGACGATAAATTACATCCGGCAGCAATGCCTCTGATCGGGAGGTTTTAAGGAGCGTGGAAGTACCTCTCAATTTCTGGTGATCCCAGGTCGACTTTAATCCGGGTGGTAGCAACTGTTAAGGTCCTAGCTATTGTTAAATAGTGAACACCCGAACGAAAGCAAAATACTACGAAAGTAAAAAAAAAAATCCGTTTTTAAAATAAAATACCAGCAATATATTTTCTATGTAAAGAATTACAAACTTTATAATAAAATGATCAACAAGATATTTTATCTGTAGTTGAAGGCGTGCTGTTACGTTCAAAATATTTAAATTTCGGCATTAAATAATCCATAGAGATTGATATACCGGGAAATGAAAGAGACCAACCAATATGGCGGAAATTTAACACATATACTAGCCTAAAATTTCTGCAATTTTTACAGTCAAACTCTGTTCCAAAATATACCTTCAAAAGCTACAACATAAAACCCCCCATATCATTTCCTCTATTAATTATGTCCACACAAAAATGTATATGTACAAAAGCTGAGTATCAACTACCATGTATTTAGTTGTAAAAGCAGAATGACATAATTTTATTGCTTCAAAATAAAATTCCGGCATGAAATGACCCATAAGCTGTTGATATGCTCATCAAACAAACTAGCCACTGCACACCATAAAATCTACTTACTATTATAACTACAAGAAGATGGTATGGTTTGGTTGTGGCCCTATTGTCCACAGAGAGACTAAATTTTCAGAAGGAAGAACGATTTTAGAATAGTTATAGTAAGATTCAGTTTACCTTTGTCAATATTCAAACATTACCTACGGAATGAGTTAAGTAGCTTAAAAATTCAAAATAATTTATTTTCGTTTTTACGGGAGAATATAATCCCTTCTTTCACCTATTTGTATCTTTGAAGAACACGTCCATCATGATGGCTGTGTTAGCTACAAAATTGATGGTAAGCAACTGTAGAACGACCTCTCTGTTGCGTCCAGTTATATCCTCATCTGGGGAGTGATTGTCTAATATTAATTGGCTTATAAGAGGATTGATATCACATAGCGTTACAACACTCTTTTCTTCCTAGCTGGAACTCCTGTTTTATCTATCTATCTATCTATCTATCTATCTATCTATCTATCTATCTATCTATCTATCTCTCTCTCTCTCTATATATATATATATATATATTATCTGTCATTGCCGTGGTAAAACGGAAGAAAGTTTTGTAAAAAAAATAAGAATGTGTTATGTGCTGAGAGACATTGAAACGACAAGGGTTATTACCAAAATCCCGAGCGAAGAATTGAGGATTTAATTCACACATAGACGACTTGAATTGTATGTCGAGAAGTTTGAACAATGGAAAAGTGACCCAGACTTAATGGGCAATGTTTATTGACACACAGCTGAAAATGTGGGCTTGGTAGCAAAAAAGTAGATTTTGGTAAACAATTTAATTTCCAACTGAGTTTTCCCGGACGGAAAATAGTCGAGGTAGCAGGCGCAGATAAGTCATCAAGGGGGACAGAGGAACCACCCATGCTCACGGAAGAGGTCGGTGAAAGAGAATGATAAAATAGAGGGACTTCCCCAAGCCAGAGTGGATCCACCGAAATGCTCCTACCTCGCTATGCTCCAATGCAATAAAATACGAATGCGTGAAGCGAATAAGGGTAGAAGAGAAAGGAGAGGCAGAAGAGACGGAGACGAGAGTAGAGACAGGAGGGAGGCCAATGTGATTATCTGCCAACGAAAGCTTCAGATTTCAGCCTTGTGTCAAACTTTAGCAACAACAGAAAATCAAAGTTTATCAAGTCAACAACAATATCACTTCCGATGTAGACGAGGATTGGGCTGATAATTAATTGTATGCGATCTCTGATATAACCAATTATTGTACAAAGGACTTATATAAAAACGGTATTTTTTGTTCATTTTATTCCAGTGTTATTTTTTCTGTAGATCTTTGCCCAGCTTGGACCAGTCCAACAGGAAGATACCTGCGACAATTGTATCTTGGCCTCCTTAGGATCAAACTTAAACTAGCACGTGGGATAGGGCAGATCTGAGATCGAAGTGATCTTCATCGATCAGCCGCGGAAGTCTTGAACGGCCGGGGAGAGAGTTGTACGATTACACACACACACACACACACACACACACACACACACACACACATATATATATATATATATATATATATATATATAGTGAATACAGAATCCTTGAAAATCCATTTGGTTATAATTTATTTCGTGGACTTTACATCCATCTCTTCAGACCAGCGCTTCGTTAATAACGTTAATAGCGCTGAACTGAAGAGATGCTTTTAAAGTCCACGAAATAAATTTATCAATTATATATATATATATATATATATATATATATATATATATATATATAAAGATCGGTAGATTTTTAATCTGTCTGTTCTTTCCCTACAAACAAACACACACACACACACACACACACACACACACATATATATATATATATATATATATATATATATATATATTGGCTAATTAGAAACTATTTAAATATTTGCTTATTGCTAATTCAAAACGATTTCTGCCGAGTTCAGAAAAAATAGGGCATTATTGAACTCAGCGATCTGTTTGTGCTGCCTTTCGTACATTGAAGTCACCTTTTCTAAACCTTATCACTGTATCTTAGTCAAATTCCTTTCTTTAAAGAATCAATCTCATTAACGCCAGAAATATTTCTCTCGCATTTTGCCATTTTAAACTCACACAGCGTTAGATCTTTTATGTGTTCCGGAAACACATTTCACTCGAGCAGACACAGGCTGATTAACTTTTAAACTCGGGAAGTATTGTCTCTTTTGTGCTACGGAGAAATGCTCATCTTTAGAAGGGTCAGACTAGTAATTTCATTAAATCGCACTGTAACAACGCATTTGTTTAAGTGTTCAAGCAAGCATTTTTATGATTTAAACTTTGCCAGTATTCAAACATTACTTAAGCAAGGCGTTGAATAGATTCTAATATGTTCTATCTAATTCATTTACATGGTTGAATATAATTCATTTGCGTATTTCTCATAAGATCAACGCCACTTTTAAATTTACCGGAAAGTTATTGTTAATGTCATTTTTAATTCGACAGTAATATAAGAAATATATTTTTTAATTTTGTTCGCAATCTTATTATTTCTAATTTGCCAATATTATTAATACCTTGTATGTCGGTGTACAAGACGACCTTTTAACTATAAAATATCTCCACAGAACATGGGGCCGTCTTATACTGCAGGTATAATATGTGAACCTTAAATTCTGTGGTTTATGGTAAGTTGTCAGCAGGGAAGATTATTGACGGTAGGCTAATCTCTGTCTTGATAACTATCAAAACAGTTTTGTTTTATACTGAAATAATTTAATTCACTTTCTTACAATCAAATAATAAATGTGTAATATAATAAACGTACTCATACCTTATTCAGTATGTGCTACGTGTGCACCCATTCAAGCTACCGAAATAGCCCACCGAAACCACAGCACCCACTCATGAGGTATTGTAAATTGTGATTACTTAATCTTACTTATTATAAAATTCAGATTGTGTGTGTGTGTGTGTGTCTGTAACGTTTATATATTGGATCGTATTTCCTACATTTTTCAACCGATTTCAACAAAACTTCACAGGACTACATAAAATTACCTTGTGGTGGTTCTAACAGCGCCAAAAATGGGAAAAATATAATTGTTTTTGCACAAAATCAATTTGAAAACACGATTAATAGACATCGTGAAAATGGAAGGGGGACAACTCACACCGGATTTCCTATATTTTTCAGCCGATAAAACAAAACTTCACTTTTTTTTTTTTTGGCAGGTAGTGTTTCTTATTCTCTTGCACAATTTTTTCTTTATTTTTAACATTCAGAATGTTTAAAAATTCCATTTACAAGACAATTATTTATAATAAAATTCTATTCAATTGGGAGACTCATAACGATTGAAAACAATGTTTTTGTTTGAGTTTGGGTTTGACCAATTCGTAAAAAAAAGAAAAAACTAATTAAGACATGCGTGTCCGTCAACCTTAAACAATAATCTTTGTCAATTTTATTTTTCAGTCTTTATGATGGTCGATACTTTATCTATCTCTTACTGTTACATCCCCGGGCAACGCCGGGCTCTACTGCTAGTTAACAATAACTCCTCACAGTTTTCTCATTAGAATTTCAGTGAAATTAAAGTATATACTTACTGAATTTATTTAATAAATTCGGTACATTTTAACATAAGATTTGTGAGGTTGTATTTAACGAGGAATATAGCCCGAAACCTACATTTTAACTTGAAAGTTTAGTGTCGTCTTATATACCCAGTCATCTTGTACGTCGACATATAAGGTTAGTAATAGTTATATTATTTGTATTATTTTCTATTTTGGGCACATTTATTATTAATTTACAAATATGATAGTATTTCTACTGCTTGTGTTCAAACACTCCATTTTTGCAAAAGAATATGCAGTGATATTTGATACAGATATTGTTAGATTTGAATTGATTATATGCAGTCTGTCTGTGAATAAAGAATACAAGGACCGCCTTCTTAGCGACATTGGCGAAATACATAAAGACCTACAAGTTCCCTCAATGGGATGTGTTCGCTACAGACTCGGCCATCTCTTGCAATTTACGCTACTAAAATGATTCTGTTTTCTTTGCGTTTTCATTGGTAGCATCGTCAGTTTCAAATTATTCAAGGGAATCTTTTATTTTATAATCAAAATCATTGAAACTATTATGTAAACAGAAAGTTCCTTCTATTTATTTAACAAGATTTAGTCACGACTTGTTTACATACCTGCAATTTCGTTTTATTTTATTTTTAATGCTAAATTTTGTCTTTTGTATAACGATGACATTGAACGGGAGGTTTTACCCAGAAATGTCTGCGCTTTTTATGAATTCTTAATATCTGATGTTGCATTGGTACAAATTCTTAGGCAAATACGTTAGGAAATTCTTTAGTATTCCTCTGCCTTTTTTTTAAAAGACATGAAGAAAATATATCCATACATTATTATTTTTATTATTATGAAAATTTTGTTAAAGCAGAAATTTTAGTTCAGAGTTATTTTTCATTCACAGCTTCCGTCATTTATTTAGTTGTAGAAACTTTCAAATTCATATTATGCGTCATGACCGAGATTTGTGAGTTTACTGGATGCTCAAACACTGTAGCCTTGAACCATACTTAATGAATCACAATAAATAACTGAAATCCCTATATAGTATTTACATAAATGTTAATAGAAACTGTTCTTTGTATTAACGTCATCAAGCGTGATATCATGCCTACGTCGTCCTGGGTATGACGATAAACTACATCCGGCAGCAATGGCTCTGGGCGGGAGATTTTGAGGAGCGTGGAACCACCTCTCAATTGCTGGTGTTCCCAGATCGTCCTTGATCCGGGTGGTAGCACCTGTTAAGGTCCTAGCTATGGGCAAATTGTGAACGCCCTAACGAAAGCAAAATAGTACGAAAGTAAAAAATATATATATATATATTTTTATAGTAAAAATACCAGCAATACATTCTTTTATAAAAAAGAATTACAAACAATACCTATCTCTAATAGAATGATCCACAAGATATTTTATCTGTAGCTGAAGGCATACAATGACGTTCGAAATATTTAGATTTTGGCACTAAATAAGCCATAGAGGTTGATATACCGCGAAACGAAAGAGAACAATCGACATGGAAGAAATTTAGCACATATAATATACTACAATTTCTTAAAGAAATCAAAAGCTATTCTTCTCATCTCTACCCTGACCTCGGGTGGGTAGCACCTGTTAGGGTCCCAGCTATGGGCAAATTGTTAACCACTAAACTCTGGTCAAAACACTATGAAAGTGTGACAATATATATTTATAGTAAAAACACTAGCAATATATTTTCATAGTAAAAATACCAGCAATACATTAAAAAAACAACAAAAACATATATAATTTTATATTTTTGTATACAAAAGATATTAAGTGACCCTAAAGAAACAAGCAAACATATTCGGCTTAGGAGATGTCCGCAGCGGGTGTCACGCTTTGTAAGTGCCTGAAAACAATGTTATGGCTTGATCTAATTCCTGTGATTGAAATTCGTGAGGTGGAACTGTTCAGAAACCGTTGATAGTTGTGCTAGCGCGAAGTCGTAAGTCATCGTGACTTGAACATACTGACCTTGTTCACGCCAGATTATGCGCTCCTTCCCGGAAACGTTAGCTAAGTTCCACCCACTATAGTTACAGTATAAACCAGAAGTTCGCTCTATGAGTATTGAGCAAAACAACTGTGCCTTAGCAGACGTCTACAATAGGGATTGGCTAGCCGTCCTAGCGAACAGACATAGTCGAATTTAAGCAGTCAGGCATAGATCACGCTTTAATAAGGTTGATCAGTATTTATATGAATTCTAGGAAAATCAACTTGCTTGTTTGAACTTGATGATCGGAAGTCTTGATCACTCCATAGATGCAAAGAAGATTTTTCTTTTCACTTTCTCCTTGGTAGTGTCTGTATCCGGTGGCCGCCTTGATCACTTGGGTTGTTTAATAATTACGGATTTATTGATTTCTCGTCTGGAGTTTAAACTTCAGGGTGTTTTCTGTTTTGAAAAGACCAGCTCTATATCAGTCTCTTGGGTAAACTTAGGTTGCCAGTTTTCTTTATTCTGAAAACTTGGTAGAGGTTCATGTTGATTGAATTGTGCCACTTTGCCGAGAAAAGGCAACAAGAAAATCAATTTTGGAAGCGATTCGAAAATGATTAAGTTCAAAAATGTCCATTTTCCAGGCTTGTTCACAACATATGCGATCGTAGATCACTCTTTCGGGGCGTTCACCCTATGCTCTCTTCTTTGAACCTACGGTGTTTCCTATCTTCATCAACGACCTTCCAGATGGCCTCAGTTGCCAGCTAGTAATTTATACTGATGACACAACTATTTACTCTCATGCGAACAGCAAGATTGTTTGGTGCATAATTATCAGGCGTTTTTTTAAACAATATTTACTATGAAAAATGAACCATAACTATTCAACAATAACATATTTAAATGATTATTCTGGAGCGTATGATTATCCGCACGCGTTTTTGTAACCTGAAAATAAAATATTTTTATCAAAAAAGAAAAAATAAACAATTTTTATTAACAACTCACCTACATAAACGCCTGATAATTATGCACCAACTCAACAGGTTGGACAACATAAAACTAGCAGGGGTCTTCGAGGTCTGAAAAATAAACTCCAATTTGTGGCGTGTAAATTTTAACGCCTCCAAAAATTCTATCTTTAATCAATATAGAGATACTGTTTTTAGCCTTTGATCACCAAGGACGATGCTGACTTCCAGGAGAATAAGTCATTGCGACTTCTTGGTTTGACGTTTTCCTTTGACATGAAGTACTGTGAATTTATTGAAGGAATTAATAGGCCTGATTCTACGAAGGTTGGACCAGAGCGCCATGTTAGACAATTGTGCTCCTCAGGATCCATGTTATCTATATAATACTAAAAGTATGTGAATCTTGTGTACGTACGCCGTCCGGTGGATAATAATTTACGTTTCTTACCACCTCTCTCTTTTCGCCTCTCTCTTTTCACTTCTCTCTCTTTTCACCCCTCTCCCTTTCAACCTCTCTCTTTCCACTTCTCTCTTTCAACCTCTCTCTCTTTCCACCTCTCTCTCTTTCCACTTCTCTCTCTCTTTCCACCTCTCTCTTTTAACCTCTCTCTTTTCACCTCTCTCTCTTTCCACCTCTTTCTTTCAACTTCTCTCTCTTTCCACCTCTCTCTTTCCACTTCTCTCACTCTTTTCACCTCTCACTCTCTCTCTTTCCACTTCTTTCTTTCAACTTCTCTCTCTTTTCACCTCTCTCTTTCCACTCCTCTTTCTCTTTTCACCTCTCTCTCTCTTTCCACCTCTCTCTTTCAACCTCTCTCTTTCCACCTCTCTCTTTCCACTTCTCTTTCTCTTTTCACCTCTCTCTCTCTGTCTTTCCTCCTCTCTTTCAACTCCTCTCTCTTTCCACCTCTCTCTTTCCACTTCTCTCTCTCTTTTCACCTCTCTCTCTCTGACTTTCCTCCTCTCTCTTTCAACTCCTCTCTTTCCACCTCTCTCTTTCCACTTCTCTCTCCCTTTTCACCTCTCTCTCTCTCTTTCCACCTCTCTCTTTCAACCTCTCGCCTTCAACCTATCTCTTCTCTCCACTTTATTTCCACCTCTCTGTGATTTCGTGCATGCTCAATTATATTTCAGCTTTCTTTAAACAAAAAATACTTTAAATATTTAAAAAAAAAATATATTTTTGCCATGTTTAAAAATATTTTCAAATGAATATGATTTTAAAATATTTCTTAGTACATTAAAAAATATTTTTAAGTTAATCCGATTTAAATAAATATTTTAAGTGAAGAAGATTTTAAAAAAAAAACAAATTGTTTATACAGTATATTTATTTCAGCAGCAGAGAATTATTTTTAATGTTGAAATCAACTTCATTGTTTTATAACCTGAACGGTCAGTGACCCAACGGGTCAAGAATAGTCTAGTATATTTATAAATCTATCATACGTCTATGCATTAAATATCTGGTCTGGTGCACCGGCTATATCTCACGAGATTCTCGTAAAAATTCAAAGAAGACGCTATAATTTAATTTGTCTTGACCTAACATCTTTTCTTCAGTCAAATTTGCAAAATATCTCCATAGCAATTGTTCTAACGAACTTTTCTCTTTGATAAATCGACCGCATGAATTTAAGCATATTATTAAATTGGCAATTAGTTCTTATCATTTTACTGTTCAATTATTAACCAAAACAGTGTATTAGTCAAAGAGTTTCAACAGTGGCAGTCTCTTACGGTTCATTGATCCCCTGCTAACTATAATTTTCAAAAATTTAAATGCAAAGTCAACCTGAAACCTGATCTTTTATTGTTCGTTCTACTCATTAAATCTTTCTCATTCTCTTACACTACCTATAACCCATTGCATCTTGGTAGTATATGTCCTTGCTTGGGGTGAAATGAGTAAAGAAATTCATTTTCTTTATTAACTGGGAATTGCCATGACTTCTTTGTTGAGTTATGTTTCGTTTCTCTACGCTATGAACTTCGGTGTTTTTCATATCTTAGACTGATGCAAGGCTAGAGATATTTTTCTACCCTGCTATTTAACCCATATCTGGGGAGAGAAGAGATAGATTCAAGATTTTCCCAAGGACATTTGCGCGAATCTTAAACCAGTTTGATACGGTTGGAATTTGAAATTGAATTGCTGATTTTATTTTGTCCGGCGATACCCATTACACCACCGACGGATTTATGATATCCTTAACATCCTTCTTTAGAGCCATACCTTCGCCGCCCGAGTCTCTTCTTCATCTTTGAGGAGACTGTCCAATATTCGCTGCCATAAAGGAGGACAGATATCACATAGTAGTTGAGTAATCTTTTCTTTGTTTCCAACGTAATCCTCTTGTTTCCTAATACTCTGCCTAGCTTTTGGAAAGCGCCTTTAGCCATCCTAATACGTCTTCGGATCTCAGCGTCGAACTCACCATCCTCTGTCAGAACACTTCCCATATATTTAAAAGCCCACTTCAAAGTACTCAATTCGATCATCACAGTTTTAGCCTATGTCGTATGTATTTTTGTAGAAAAGACAGAGCGATTACACAACTTCTCTGGTAAATTCTATTTTCTAGAAAAAATATCCTACAATATGCTAAAATAGCTGTGTAAGAATAAAAATTATTGCATAGAAAGAAATATTTGATAGCCTGAATATGAAAATTCTGAAGAATCAGCAATATTATTGGTCCCGATAGGGTGTTTTAGCTTCAGTCACTCCCCCACTACTGTAAATTTACAGCCCTTTCTATAATTACCTTTATGGTAATTGTTAGCATGAGCTTTTCGCTTTGGTATGTTTTTATATTATAAATACTCATTTGGGCTAGTTTTAAAGTTGATGTTTTATCCACCTCTCTTCACAGACAATGAATTGTTCATATGGGGAATAGTTAGGTTTTTCATAGAGACAATGAGGTATCATGGTGAATGTAGTAAAAAGGTAAGTAAGAATGTGTTGTTTTCTTGTTAGGAATATTGTGCTATGTTTGGGTCAGTGTTTGTGGCGAGCTAAGTTTAGCGTTAAAACAGATGAAGACCGTCCTTTTCCCTATTCCCTCTTTTGGCTTTTTGCCACATTTTCTGTACACAAAAGAAATAAATATCGCTCTTCGCTATGGTACCAAGACTCTATAAATTTAAGCGCATTACTAAACTGGCAACAGGTTCTCATCAATTTACAGTTGAACTGGCTAGATTTAACCGTAAGTTATATGCTAACAGTTTATTTTCTTGCATTTCTAGCTTGTGTAACTCTCTTCCGGTCGTCATGAGTATATATGATTAACGAATGATTGATTTGTTTTTTGTTATAGTTTATGAACCTCTTCCAAGTTATTAAAAGGGAGAAAATAGTTTTAGTTTGTAAGAGATTTTTGGGGATAATAATGATGCAACTTACAGATACAACTCATACTAATTAACATATACCTGGTGGAAGTGAAGTTGATTCGTAACTTTTCCAAACGTATTTGCGCGTGTCTTTATCCGACTGGGATTGGAACTAGGAATTCTGATGGACAACTCCAAGCCATTATCCATTACAATCACACCTATCCAAGATTCCAGCATCTGATATTCCCAAGCGGTTACCCATCTATGTACTCTCAAAGCTCGACGTTGCTTACCTTCAGTGATCCTACGTGAACCAGTGGTTCAACTTGATATATCCGTAAGCTCCCTTTACAAAGGATAAGAACCTAATGTAACATTCGCCCATTTTGATTCTGAGAATTGTAACGTCCTTCTAATAATTTCTGTTATTATATTGTATTAACTAAGAAATCTCTTAATATCACTAAGAACATAGCTTTGATTTGACAAAGAAAGAAACGGCGTATCCAAATAGAAGAGATGGAAACAAAGCGACTGATTTTCTTTTATTCTCACTTTTTTTTTGTCCGATTCCATCAGAGACCAAGCAAATATCCCTTTATACTTACAGCAGAATACCAAGATCTTTCGAAAAAGCCATTTGGGATATTTATTTTTCTTACTCGGGAATCGGGTGAGGGAATTGAAGATGGCGTACATTGGTCATAAGTAAAGGCGATTGCTTTGCTTTTACTCTATGAGATGGAATTAGAGAAGCAGAAAATAAAATAAGCTAAAGGAATGGTGGATGGCATAAGGAAGAATACATGCCAAAAAGATAAAACAAAAAAGAAAGAAACTTCATGAAAAATAAAGAAAATAATAAACCGAGAAAGATATAGCGAGCAAGAAACAACTTTTTTTTATATATATATATATATATATATATATATATATATATATATATATATATATATATAGATAGATAGATAGATAGATAATGAATACAGAATCCTTAAAAATCCATGTGGTTCTAATTTATTTCATGGATTTTACATCCATCTCTTAAGAACAGCGCTTCGTTAATAAGGCTGGTCTGAATAGATTGATGTAAAGTCTACGAAATAAATTATCAATTGTTATATATATATATATATATATATATATATATATATATATATAGCTCTGTTCCATCTTCAAGCGAAATTTTTAAAAATTCGCTTGAAGATGGAACAGAGCTTTTACTTTAATTCAATTTAATTCAAACAATTATATTGAAGTTTTCGGCTCTTGTTTGAAACATGAGAACTCTTATGTAGCGATGGAATCATATTTTTAAATAAATGATTATATTTAAGCTCTACTTTTGTTTCGAGCACTGTTTTTAAAAAATAATAACTAAAATACTAAGAGACTTTGGATTATTTACCTAACGAGTTCTTTCCTATTTTCTCTATATTTTTACACACACACACACACACACATACACACACACACACACACACACATATATATATATATATATAGAGAGAGAGAGAGAGAGAAGAAAAGAATGAGGTAACTAGGGGATAGTTTTTATTGTTTTTACGCTTCATCAACCATTTGCTTTTTATTTAAATCCATTTTTGAAGGTAATAATGAAGTTACTCATGCAAAACCTAATAATTAACCCATAGCGGGGGACAGAAGAGGTGTGTTCATACCTTTCTCAAGGATATTTGCGCGTAAGTGAATATAATGAATTCAAATAAAATTGAAACGGCTTTCTGATTTGCAATTCCAAGCCGTTACTCATTACACCACCCGCACATCCGAGATTACACCACCTGGTATTCTGAAACGGTCACCTAAGTAATCATCAGGCTCCACGTTCCCTAACTTCGGTACTACAACTAATATGAGTCAAACAAATATTAAAATAAACCCTCTCTAACCTCGACCATGTCTCTCACACTACTCCTCGCTACCCTCTCTGTTAAATTACATAAACTTAATACTACCCGTCAAAAGTTTGAATTTTCATTTCATCTTTCGTTTCATTTTTGGGAAGTGTTATCTGGTGATCCAGCGTCCCTTAAAAGGACTCTGGTGAAATAAATTATTATAATGGAACCTTAAAGTGGTCTGTTTTTCTTTTGATTATTAGCTCTGGATTTACATTGAGCTCTCAGGATTTCATCCTCCTTGGGATTACCCATACGGATTACACCGCCGCCTCTTCTTCTTCTTCTTCTTTATATTTTCACGCTATATGACGCTTTCGTATAGGAAGCAGGTTCGATTCCTGTCGGAGGGCGTATATTTTCTATGACAAATTTCTCGGACATTCAGGCCGGTAAATATTGTTAATACTGTTTATTATAAACAGGGCATTTACTTAAATATTTGTATCTATAAAAAAGAATGTATAAACATAAAAAGATGTCTTTTTATATATATATATACAAAAGTTCTTTAAGTTTAGTGATATTACTGGTTTTCATTTCTCAGTTTCTAATCTTCTCTTCATTTTGTCTTAGTTCCTTCGTGAACTTAGCGATTACATGCATACCATTGGTATTTCCCTCACTGTTTCGTTTATATATTTTTCTTCTGGTATTATTATTAAAAATGTTCATATAAAAACCTATGCATTAATGTTGAATATACAAGAAATTATAAAATCAAAGTTGGGTAAAGCGAGATCAAAATATTTACCCTGTAATGGTAAATCGAAAAATTAGAAAAGGAAAGCGGAAGCTTTGTTGTGAGTTAAATTCGATGACCGATTTCAAATTTCCGCT